CGGGCGGTGCCTGCGGGCGCAGCCGCGCTCCTCCTCCCGCGCCTCGGGGGCGTTCTCGGCCTTCCCCGGGGGTGGGGCGGCCGCTTGTTTTCTGTAGGTGAGGCCTTTATCTCGGTGGCGACCTTCAGTTACACGTTAACCGCTCTCTGTCCGTTGCCCTTGGCGGAGTCGTTATCAGCACAGCTCAGTAGCTTCCAAGCGGCTCTGCCCTTGGGGCTGGGCTGGATAGCAGGAGTTGACTAACGAAGCGATTGGCACCTTTCCCACAGGCTTTTTTGTCTCTGAGGCAAGGTTTTTCCTTCATAGTTTTTGAAGTGAATTGGTAGGAATCCGCGGTTTCCTTGGCGCTGTGCTTACATGTCTCGCTTGGCATGAGACTCCCATTTTAGCCGTAGCTGAGATGAGCAGCTTTGGTCCAAACAGCAGCTCTGACCTCTGTGCAGCAATCTTGGTGCTTTAGTCGTGCAGGTAACTTGAGACTTTCTAGCGACACTGTAGCATGTTGTAGCTTGTAGGTGTAGAACTTTACAGCTTGCTTCTGTGTTACTATGATGGTCTGAACCTCAGCTATGAGCTGAATGTAATTGTGTTGGTGGATGATAGTGGTACACAAGCACCAGTCTCTTGCCTTGAACCTCCAAGCTGCTGGTTTCAGAGCAGAAAGTTCTGTAGTAGTTTGTCTGGTAAATAACTGGCATAAGATACAAAGCTTTTCATTGAATCCTGCCTAATGGCTCTGACCAAAGAACAAATAAGCTGTGTGATGGCTTCTAACTGCTGTTACAGTTTTTTGGGATTTCAGAAAAGATGATCCCGTATTTGCTGTTGAATATGTATTTTAGTTCAATTTATCTTTTGTCTTTTAAATGTGATACTTTTTTTTCCCAAAGTAGAAAGTGTACTTCTTAGTCTAATCCCTGGTAAGCCTAGTGAAGCATGGGAGCTTTGTTGCAGAAGTACCTTAAAGTTCTTGGCCACCCTTAACTGGTATTGCAAGTCAGAACCTTGACTTGTGATCACTGTAAACAAACTTGGGCAAGCAAAAGGAGCAGGGAAGACTTTCTCCTTCTTGAAAAAGGCTTTTCCTTCTTGAAAAAGTCTGCTGTGTTTAAGGCGTTTGAATGGTGTTCAGAAGAACAGGTATCTTTGTGGGGTTTTTTGTATCTTCAGAACTGAACCACAAATACCATTTGTTTGTGTCCTTGGTGTTCATGGTAGGGATACAGGTTAAAAATTAATCCTAGTCAAGAAAATCTAACTTGCTACTAAGGCAAGAGTTTTGCCACACTGCCTTGCTGTCGTCAGTGCTACTGCTAGCCTTAGCTTGGACTCCAGCCATCTTGCAATAGGGCTGATAGGAGACATATCTAAAGTAACAGTACAGCGTTGGCTTTGTGTGGCTGCTGGAGTGAGGCTCGGGGTTTTGAGCACGTGAATTCTTATTTTTCAGTCCTACTATTTTGACCGGGATGATGTGGCTCTGAAAAACTTTGCCAAGTATTTCCTGCATCAATCCCATGAGGAACGCGAGCATGCTGAGAAACTGATGAAGCTACAAAATCAGAGGGGCGGACGCATCTTCTTGCAGGACGTCAAGGTGAGGAGTGGACCTGTGCGTTGTCCTATCTAACGCAGAACTAGACTTGTGGTCTGTCTCCAGGCTGGAAGGGGAGGAATTTCCTTGTGGGTCCTCTCCCGGAAGAAGCAGCTGACAGTAGATAAGCATACTGCATTGCTGCAATCTGTGCGTGGCACTCAGCCCACAATCTAGAGATATGTGGTAATTTGATAATTTGTGCTGATTGACTAATAACAAGTACTTCCTGAGTAAGAAGAGGATGTCTAGCCCTCGGTGGTTTGCTGTGGGGTGAGGGTAACTAGAACACAGCCGGTTCATCTACCTTAAATTTAATGGCCAGAGCCTTTTCTGTTCTCTACACTGCTTTGTAGAGAACTCTTAAGTCGCTTGCTTGAAGTCACTTTAATTAGATTATTTGGAACAGCAGAAAGTAAGCAATGTCGTAGGGCCAGTTTAATGCAAGACAACTTTTGATGGGGAAAACAGCAAAGTAAGTGATGGGCACTTGAGAAAAATTCCCTTGCTTACTAGTAAGTCTGAATACTTGTAAACACCAGACTCTATACTAGACAGTTCCGAGCTGAAGACTAGACTTGCCTGTACTGGTGTCTTAACTGCTTCATTTCTGAGATTGTGCCCATTGCCTGCTTACATAGGCAGATTTTTAAGTCATTGGGTTATAATGGGAGGAGGAAGACGGTAGCTCTGTTGGCTGTCTTGCCTACAAGAGCTCAGGAAACATAACACGAGGAGAACATAGGGAATGGGGACAGGTCTAGGACTTGGAGCACGCATTCAGTTCTGTTCAGAGTGTGCACTGTGTGTCCGCCAGATTTTTGAAGATGCCTAAATGCCTGAACTTGGTCTAAACAGGCTTTGAGACTGATCTAAAAAGGCTTTGCTCCCTAATGGTCTGTGAGTACTTACAGAAAATATGGTCATGTGCTTTCCCCTTCTAGAAGCCAGATCGTGATGACTGGGAGAATGGACTGACTGCAATGGAGTGTGCCCTGCACCTGGAGAAGAATGTGAACCAGTCGCTGTTAGAACTGCACAAATTGGCAACTGAAAAGAATGACCCGCATGTAAGTGGACGCTGAAGCTGAGAATGTGGCTGTGCAATGAGGGGGCTTGTGTGTGTCTAATAGTGTGGGTTTGGGGGCGAGTTGTGTGTCCCTGCCATTCCTAAAGGTAAAAAAAGGGTGTGAACTAGTGGTGCAGCCTTTCCAAAGGGAAGGGCCAGGTGTACCTTAGCTGTTTGGTAGGGTTATTGCCATTTTTTTCCAGGAGGACCAGTTGCAGCATGTTAGGGTGGCTGAGGCCTGCCTTACAGAACGGTGGGTGCATTGCTTTGTTTAAACCCTTCTGTTGCTCTTGGGAGCAGAGAGCACTCGTGAACAGCATTTTGAAGAGAAGAAATTTATTAAGCTCTATGGAGAAGTCTTGTTTCTGTGGGGGATGAGTTCTTACTTTAAACCAATGGATGCCTGTAAGGCTTTTTGTTATAAAATGTTGGAGTCGCTTCTTCTGAATGTTAAAAGCCCTGACACTTCAGAACACAGTGTCTGAAAACACAGGTTTCTTCACAGATGGAAGTTATTGGCAAGTCTGGGTTGAGGTGTCTTAGTAGTATCAAGAAGAGATTAGCATGTGTCTGAATCAAGGTACTCTTGGGAGTGTCCTGCATAAGTTAGAGGGACTTTTCTAAAAGAAACTACATAGCTGGACCATTCTACAGATATAAATCCTCATGGTCATGAATTCAAGTGCTGTGCAGTGGGGGCTTCTAAATATGTTCAGAAACTTGCCTGTTGCTTCTTGTAGTGAGGAAGAGGGGGTACTTCGTGAGCTGACATTGTACTGCAGTTCTGGAGCAAGTGTGCCTAGATGAGTCTGCCTCACTTTGGTCTTGTTCTGGCATTGCTGAGGCAGGACTAAAGCCTTCTTCCTCTCGGGTATCTTCTGCAGCTTTAAAATTGTTACTCTGCATCTTCTCCTTTCCCTAGAGAGGACTGGTAGAATTTCAGATGCTGCTTCAGCAGGGTGAGCTGTGTTCAGGCCTACATTTAAACTCTCTTGTCTCCCTTTCAGTTGTGTGACTTCATTGAGACTCACTACCTGGATGAACAGGTGAAGTCCATCAAAGAGCTGGGCGACCATGTGACCAACCTGCGGAAGATGGGGGCACCAAAATATGGCATGGCAGAGTACCTCTTTGACAAGCACACCCTAGGGGACAGTGACAATGAGAGCTGAAGTCTTGCCAAGAGCCACCCTGTGGGTTTCAGTGGGACTCCTACTTTACTGTCCAGCCATGCATGCATCTTCAGCTATCTAGATTAACAGTTCTCATACTCTGTACCAAATATTGCCCCTCTTTTCTCTTGTGTTTTGTGTATTGCCCTCCATCCAATAAAGTGACTTGGTTCAAGTTGGCTTTTTCTGTTTCTCTCGGGAATGAGAGGCCTGTACTCGCAGGATTGTGCTCCGTAGTCTCTGTTGTGACAGTCATCTTAAGTTGGGCATGGATGAAGGAATGTAATAGAGGGATCAGATTTTACTTAGCGCTTCTATAAAAATGGCTTTTTTCCAGTCCAGTGGGATCCGCTGCAGGAATTGCTCAGTGACTAAAGTTCTGTTGTAAATGCCTTTGCCACCGAAGCTGCTGTTGAAATGAATGTGCAAGGAAAGGAAGGCTTGAGTATCTGGTCCCTGTAAATTTAGATGAGGCAAGTGAAGGGGCGGTGTTAGTGCCTCACTAGGCATCATGCCTGTCTCACAAATGGCACTACACTTGTGTGTGGAGAAGACGTACTGTGAATCGACTTCAGAGCTGTGTGCTGTAATCGGGCTAGACTGAAACAGCAGTGCTGCAGGAACTGCCTCAAGGACGCTGTCGGGAGTTGCAGCGGGTGGTGGTGACATCTGCCTAGGTCTAGCAGCTGTACTTGGGAGGCAGAGAGCGTAGGCAGGTGTTGTGAAGGCATTGGAAGGGATGTGGGAGGTAAATTTGTCATGTGCTCCCCGTGATATAGGAGATTTGCAGCTGTTTCTGAGGACAGAAGAAGTAGGAAAACTACTGTGGTTTCTCTAAATTCCTATTGTTGCATGGAAACTAAAATGAGGAAATGAAACGGATGGTCCTGGACTTCAGCCTTGCTTTTATTTTCTTGGGGAAGACAGTAAAAACTCATAGCTGTATGGTGTCTGCTACCATCCAAATGACTTCTCTGAGCACTGTCAAATCAGTGGCAGATGTGATGTGGAACATCAAAGGAAGCAATGTGCTGGGCATTGACTGCAGCCACCTCTTCTAGTGGACACTTGCCCTGCCTTATTCCAATACTTTGCCGCTACTGGAAAACACCAGCTAGACATGACTTCAAGAAGCACTGTGGGTCTGCATCACAAATGATATGACTTGTTTCAGTCTCTTACTTTCCCTGGAGTATCTTGTCAGTAGTGCAAGTCCTGCCTGAGACTTGTGATGGGTCTTGTGATAAATGTTAACATAAAGCTCAAGTTCCAATTCTTGCTGTGATGGGGGGGGGGGGGGGGAGGAATCCTTATTAACTATGTTCCTCTTCTGTTTTGGCCTACACCTGCACTCCAGGTTCTTCAGGCTGGTACCTGCTGAGCTATTGCTCTGCCTGTTGGGTATCTGCAATACCTAACACTCAAAGTCTTGTTTGTTCTTTTGCTACAAATGTAGAGGGGTTTTTTTGTTTTGTTATTGTTGCAACACTGAACTTGTGCCTGCTACTGTACCTGAGGCCAGTAGCTGTGTGTCATTAGTACTGGCTTTAGCCTAGGCTGGGCTCTAGCTGCATGTTCCAGCAGTAGGTGGTTTGGCTGCACTGCCCTTCTGTTTGGGTGAGTGCCAGTGTGGCCAGGTGTAAAGATACTGCAATGGTATCTCAACAGAACTGTGTGTCTTTTGGTCTTCTCTAGCCGTACTGATCTGTCTGCTCTTCACATGTGCTTTCGCTGGTCTCCATGATCACCTCCATCAGTCCCACGTAGTCACCTTCGGCTAGAGAGATGCCAGAGTCATTGGGGGATGGACTCTCTGCTCGTCTTGGCTCTTTTTTAGGGAGAGTATTAATGCTTCCGTTTCCAGAATCTCTCGTGGTCCTGGAAACCTCTGCTGAATGCTGGTCTGGAGCGCTGGCCGTATCTTCTAAACTTAGGCTGCGAGCATCAGGGCCCGTGTTCCCCATGTGGGATCTCTCCAGCACCGGGGATGTTACAGGAGTGAACGAGAAGCAGAGGGAGGCACTGCCTCCGGGGGTTTTGTTACTGAGGGTGTGAAAGGCACTTGAATGCTCTGAATTGGGGGTGGCTGATGCTGTGTTCTCCAGGGTTAGCCAGGGTGAGTGGGAACCTTTCAGGCTCTTCAGACTCTTGAAGCTACCCTGCTTCTCGTGGTCTGGGGACTCTGCCGAGAAGGGGAGTTCTTGGCATCTGTCTGATGCTGTGGATTGGGCTCCTGGACTTCCAGTGGTGGCAGCTTCTCTGCTCTTACTGTTAGAGTTGCTCTTTTCTTCTACTGTTAAAACCAGCGAGTCAGGACCTTTGCCCCGATCTGTTGGCCAAATGAATGTTTCCTTTGCAGCTGAGCCAAGGGAGCTCTGGCTCTTATACATATCGCTGACTCTGGAAGGCGAGGAGTTGACAATGACGTCCCTAAGAGAAGTCGAGCATGCAGCGATGCTGGAGAGTGCAGGAGGCTTCTTGCGGCCTTGGCGTCTAGAAGGGAAAATCATGGGGATAGAGCTGATCGGTGTCTGTGGAGCACTGTAGAAACCAGGTCTCTCATAAAATGGGGTTGACATGAAGGCATCAAACTCCCTTAATTTTCTGTCTTCGCTGTCCCACTGCTCCTGTGAGCTGGATTCTCCCCTTGGCTGACTGATGCTGCAAGGGCTTCCAGACTTGCCCATGTCTTGGTATGTATAATGGGAGAAGGGGGATGTGGGGTCTCCTCGTCTGCGCAGCAGGTTCATCCGGGAAGAGGACCTGGAGAAGCTTGGTGACTGGACGCCGAGGAGGCGGCCCAGGTGTCCCAGTAATGGTGTGGAGTGGTTTGCCTCCTCATTTTCTTTAATTTGTTCCAGGGGCTGGAACTCCATCTCTTCTTTCTGCATGCTGGGGAAAGGCAAAACGGGCTGTTACACAGCCACAAAAGGAGGTGGCTTCTGTGGAGAGGCTGGCAG